TCAGCAGGCTCCTCAGTTAAAAACTGCTGTGGGCATAGTGTATTATGCATTCCATATCTTCTCCTTAGATCGTTTACTGCTCCCTGAAAAATGAGTGTGATGAGGTTTCACTGTAATTGAGTAAAATTTGCTTTTGGATGTTATTTTGATGATCAAGTTAGGATTCTGTGGCTGTATGCAGTTATGTGAAAAGAGGAATGAGTATCATATCCAGGAATATCTTCTGCCTTTAAGGCATTATGTTTTTGTAAAAGGGGAAATTTGGCTCATTTGAGAATAAAATTTAATTGTATATGCAATAGTATAAAGATGAATCTTACTTTGGAAATCTGCTGACCATAATATTTTCCTCAAGCTTGCCCTAAATACCTTGATTCAAATTGGAATATATCAACAAAAGGCAGTTATTTTTGTTGTGATTAGGATGTTAAAGGGCATTAGTTACTCAAGAGATTCAGTTTCTGTTCCTTCTGATAAATAGTCATCAAAAACATGAAGCAGTCTTAAGAGTGACTAATATGTAATCTCAAAGTGATTTTTCATCCACTCTTAACATTTTTTAAATCATTTATTTCACAGAGTTCTATAACTTGAACAAATGAAAATGTTCTGCTTTAGTTTAGCAAGAAGTCAATTTCTGATCGTTGATCATTTTCTCGTCAGCCTCCCCCAGCTCTCTACTCTCTTCTGGTCACATCTAAAGCTGTTATAAGACTGGGTTTATACTGTAAAGGTGGACATTGTACCATGAAATTGTGGAGTTAGGTGAATTATTCCATTCTAATTACAGACGAGCTTTCCCCAAACATTCTTAAATTTATAATTTTTGTGAAAGTTCATTTTCTGAGTAAAAGGTACTTTCATATTCGTTTGGGGGCAGATGAACTAAAAAGAGAATATAATTAGGTATTTATACCCTAAAACAAAAAGAGTGATAAGTAATTTAGACCCTCCAAACTAACTGCTGACATCTTTCATTTAGTCCTTCAAGACCAGTGCTTCCCATCCAGTCTGTTCTCCTGTACCTGTGTGGTAACTCCAGTTTGCTTTTATGTTTAGTCTCCCAAATAGCGCCTTGAGTGATTTTAGTTGGAGGCTGGGAGGAGGTGAGGATAGTGTTTTCGTTTAATGTTTTGTTTCCTATCATAGGATGCTGCCTAACCCAATTCACCTCCATGTCCTATTGATTTTATTATTATTCCAAGTAATTGAAAGAAAATATAATGGATAGGTACCATTAAAACCAGCTCAAAATTATATTCTTATCAGTAAAGATTTCTTGTTAAGATGTCTTGCATTGCACTTTTGTTGAGGAAAGACAGTGTAAATAGTTAAAGAATGTTGATAAAATTGACACATTTGGTTGTGGAATTGTGTGTGCTCTTAGGGGGTTTCTGTTTGTGAACTGTATGTATTAAAAATAATAAAATCTCAGAAACTAACATTGGACTCTCTCTTTAGTGTGTCATTGTATTTTTTGTTGGGATTTTTGAACAGTGGGATTGTCTGGTCAGAAAAGAGAGTGGAGAAGGCTTTCTGAGGTTTCGATCACTGTTCAGGTAATCATTTTGAAGTCACTACCACAGTGAGTAAAAGCTAAGAACTTTTTTGCTGTTTGAAAGTTGTATATTACATATAAATTCCTTTTGCAAAAAATTAACATTCTATATATCAAAGTTGATTACATATAGATAGTCCAAAATCATTATTCTGGATAGAGGGAATTTTATTGAATGGGTTGTAAAGAAAATAGGGGCTCAGTTTAGGTATACCCTCAAGGCCAACCACCCATAGCCAAAACTTAAGTTATGCTGTGTTCCCTAAAATCCTAGTACTAATCATAAACAAATGCAAAATACAAGCTTTACATCTTTGTCAGCATGATTTGGTGAAATTAAACCAATCAGCTATAGACAGATCTGCTTATACTGCTGTGCCTGCCTTAATAAGAATGTTAATCTGTAACAGGCAATCAAAGAGGGCAAAATACTGCCTCCTTTAAAAAGAGTGCTGTATCTGCTCCGAGCAGGGCTTCTCTACCTCTCTCTTTGTGAGTTCCCAGCCCACAAACCATTCTGTGTGCATGATAAACTACAATTTTAAAATCCGATTTTATTTTTGACAATGGATAATTCTATTCTACACTTGTTTTCTTCAGTTCCTAGGGCTGTAACAATTTTTGTAATGGAAAGGCTTGATAGTATACCTCTTCCTTCTAAGCGAAGTGAAAACTGAGTCTAAACTTATTGCCCACTTTATGCACTCTGATCAAGTATAGATTGTCCTTTGATTTTTCTTGTCCCCTATTTCAAACACCATTCTCAGCAAATGAATTGAAATTCACAGAAACATTAGAACACAGGGTGAGATGTGGAAACAAGTTAAGACTTGAGTTTCCAGTATGCCAGTGGATTCAAAGCTCGTGTTGCCACTTAGTACTACAGACATCTAAAGTATGCATTTCATTTTATTTGAAGACTTCAGGAATCACATTGTGATTCCTACAAATATCATTTATATCAAAAAATTTCTTTGCAGTTTTAAGGTAAATATCGTTCTTAGTGTAGATAGGAAAGTAAAAAACCTCAAAGTTAAACATTGATAATTAAGTTCAATAGAAGAAAATTATTTTTCTTAGTGGTTTCCATTTCTTTAAATCTTGCTTAGATGGTTTTAACTTTTAATTTGGTGAATTCAGTAGCATTTAGACTGCTAAGTGTGTGGGCTGTTTAGCAAAGAGTTAAATTTCCTAAGGAAATGAAAAGCTTATATTGAGTTTTGCTTTTTTGCTGTTCTCTCAGCTCTTGGCACTGGGATTAACCTTTCCTAATAAATGTGAATTTTTTTTCTTTTTAAAAATTTATTTATTTCATAAGCAAGAGAAACAGAGAACTCCCACCAGAGTCTTTGTAGCATGTTCTACCCCCAGCCTTTAGGCCACTCATAGCACCATTTCTTGCAGATAGGTGTCATGTCAGATGGTTTGATAACCTAATTAAAAATTTAGGTAATATTTTCAAATCTAGAACTGTCTAATTATATTCCTAATAAAACCAACCATTCTAAAAGTGGAAACATCATCATTATCATAGTTATAGAATTTAGAGTTGCCAAAATCTAAAGGGTTATACTTTGTATTATATTCACATAATAAATGTTTGTGAGATTGCACTGAATATTATACTTGTATTCATTTTAGAGATAAAGAAACAGACCCAGAAGACTTAAACCTGAAGTTCACATAGTTAATAGCTAACTAAAAATTAAATCCAGATTCCCTCTCGTAGTCTTCAAAATTAGATTTTAGCTGATACTCAGCTAACTAACCATGGTTCAAAGGTGGAATATTCACGAGAATTCTTCAGTTTTCCTCTGCTTTTGATTACCGTTTGCATACAGACTGTATTAATGATAAGGTTTAGACATTAGATGTCTGGAAAATTTGTCAATAGCCCATGTCACTTGAGAAACAGTTTTTAGCATGAACTTTGTTTATCTAGATCCTGGAATTAGTTTTGTGTTGCTTTCATTTGACGTTTACTGATTTATTTTTCTTTTTCTGTTGCTGAGTTACAGATTGGTAGGGACCAGCAGATGGCATTATGGTTACGTCGCTGGACTCCCACATAGTCAACCGCAGTTCCAAGTTCCAGACCTGGTGGCCTAACATTCACGCTGGGCATGTGTGCTCCTGTCCAAAATCCTGAGAGGAGAATGGAGAAGGGATTATGGTGTGGCCATCCCACCTGGGAAGTGATTTCTCCATCTTTGTCTCTGTCTCTTCAGCAAGCATATATGCCCTATGGCAAAAATCTCTCTCTCAAAAAAAAAGTTATAAATTAGAGTTATAAATTAGTTATAAGTTAGAATGGCAGATATACTCATTGTAAAGGGAAGAATAGCATTATAGACACATGCACTTTACCAGCTATGTTAGTAGGAAAGTATCTATTTAATTTGTTTAAAATACAGGATTGGTGCATAGGAAGGGTATAAAACATACAAGAAGTGTCTGGACACCCTTCAGCGATGAGTCCCTGAGGCTTGCGGCTGAGGAAGCTGCAATGTTGGTAAGTGTATCGGTAGACGAGCACTCTGTTTTCAGGAGAGGTCATTTGTCTTGAGAAAGCAATAGATTTAAAAGGTATAGGAACCCATGTTTCAGCAACAGGTCTAAAATAGAAGTAATTCTTAGAGGCCTACTCAGGCCTCCTGAATTACAGTGGTAAGCACATTTGGAAATATTTTCTATTTTTAGAAAAAGAAAAAAAAACCAGGAATATATTCTAAATAAAATTATTTTAAATCAATAATTGTCTTTTCAGTTTCACGCACTCATTTTTTGACATCTGTATTCCATTACAATAGGTTATTGCTTGAGGAGAACTATGGTGTGGGGTGGTGTTTTAATAGTCTATACTGAGAATCTGTTATTTTATTCACTTTGGGATATAACTTTGAGGTATTTCTGGATTCAAACATGTCAAGCTGTCAAATTTGATAGCATCAATCTATCCTCTTTGGGCAGAATTTTCCTTTTTGGCTTACTTTTTTCAAATAGTTTCTCTAGGTATGTTTCATTTTAGTTTCTCATGATCTTTTTTTTCTTTTTTTTTTTTAAAGAGTGATTTTTGCTGTAGGGTGCATGTGCTCGCCAGAAAGACAGAGATAGGAAGTGCAAAATCACCCCCCAGAGGGGATGGCCACACTGCAGTCTCTTCTTCATTCTCCTCTTGGGATCTTGGGCACGCACGCACATGCACCCTACTTGAGTTTTAAGTCACTGGGTCTGGAATTTGAACCGCAGTCTCTTACGTGGGAGTCCAGCAACATTACCATTATGCCATCTGCTGGTCCCAAGTTTCTCATGATCTTGTTTCTGAAGCTCTGATATTCCAGAATTTGGGGAGTTGCCTAACATGATTATTTTTTGTTTGAATTTCACACTTTTTTCATGT